GTGCAACACTTGGGGAGAGATCCATCCGATCATGCCCCGCTCTTGTTATCGGCGGCAACAAGGTTGGATGGCAAGCCTTTGCCTTTTCGGTTCTTGAATCTCTGGACAAAAAAACCGGGTTTCCTGGAAGAGGTCAAGGGGAGTTAGGATGCTACCTTCGCTGGGTCACCTCTAAGAGTTCTGTCAGATAAGATGCGAAAGGTGAAACACGCACTCCGGCAGTGGTCTAGGAGTGAGTTTGGGGACATTTACTTGGCAAGCCGTACGGCTAAGCAAAGGGTATTGGAAGCTGAAATAGCTCATGATAACCAACCATCGGACGGGTTGCTTTTGAATTTACAAGAAGAGTGTGCGAAATTGAGATGGGCTGTGGTGGTTGAAGAAGATTTCTGGAGGCAGAAAGCTTGAGGTAAATGGCTCTCAGACGGGGACAAGAATATGACATTTTTCCACGCTGTCGTGACGGAGAGGAGGATGAAGTCAGTTATACATAGGATTCAGAAGAGCAATAGGGAGTGGGTGGATGACGAAACAAGCATTTGTGCTGAAGCCGTTTCTTTCTTTCAGGATTTGTTCACAGAGGAGGGAAGCAGGCCGTCCAGCGAGATGTTAGAGATTATCCCAACGATACTCACTGAGCAGGATAACATGGAGCTGACAGAGGTCCCGTCACTAAACGAAGTCAAGAAAGTCATTTTTTCGATGGATGGGGATAGTGCGGCGGGCCCGGATGGCTTCACGGGAAAGTTTTTTACGGAGGCATGGGAGGTGGTGGCTGAGGATGTTCACAGGGCGATCATGAGCTTCTTTTGTGGAGCGATGCTACCACGAAGTGTCACTGCTACTGCTATCGTGTCACTCACTAAGGCACAGTGTCCACAGGATTTTACTCAATGCCGACTGATAAGTTTGTGTAACTTTGTCAACAAGGTAATTTCCAAAATTTTATTCTCCCGTTTGGCTAGAGTTTTGCCTCGTATTGTCTCTCCACAGTAGAGTGGCTTTGTGCCTGGACGGAAAATGGCGGATAACTTTCTTCTTGCTCAAGAGTTGTTGAGTGACATAAAGAAACCCAATCGGGGCGGGAACGTGATGCTCAAATTGGACATGATGAAAGCTTATGACAGGGTTTCCTAGGTTTTCTTGATACAAGTACTGAGGCATTTTGGGTTTAGCGAGTTGTGGATTGACATGGTTTGGCTGTTGATCTCTAATGTCTGGTTTTCTGTTATCGTGAATGGATTACCGCATGGGTTCTTTAAGTCCACGCGAGGGTTACGGCAAGGAGATCAAATTTCGCCGGCCTTGTTTGTGATTGGAGCAGAGATTCTCTCTCAGGCTTTAAATCCATTGGCGGGGCATTGCAGCTTCCGGCCGTTCAAAATCCCGAGTAGTTGCCCTCTAGTGACTCATTTGGCATATGCTGACGATGAGAGGCCTTAAGGCCTCGGTCAAGTTGGTCAAAGGGGTTGTCGATGGATATTGTGGGGTGTCGGGGCAGAAGGTTAATTGTCAAAAGAGTTGTTTCTTAGTGCACCCAACTTTTCCCCCGCAAAGGCGCGCAATGATTGAAGTGGTGACAGGTTTCTCATACAAATCATTCCCATGTAAATACCTCGGCTGCCCACTATTTATTGGACGGCGTAGAACGAGTTACTTTGCAGAGATTTGCAATATCATAACCACTAGAATCTTATCATGGAAGCATCGAGTTCTTTCGACTGGGGGTAAGATAGTACTGCTATGGAATGTGTTGTCTTCAATGTCGATTTATTTGTTGGCAGCGGCGATGCTGCCGAGGAGGGTTTTTGCCTTGCTGGAAAAGGTGATGGCGAATTTCTTGTGGGGATCGACGGATTTTGGACCTAAGTTCCATTGGATTAGTTGGGGTGATTTGTGCCACCCACACGAGGAAGGTGGGATCGGCGTTCGGAGCATTGCGAAGGTGTATGACGCTTTTTCCATTAAGCTCTGGTGGACCTTTAGGCAGCAGCAATCTCTGTGGGCAAAGTTTTTCTCAGCAAAGTACTGTAAAGGGGTCCATCCATGCCTGGCAGAGGGTGCCAACTCACACTCTTCAATGTGGCAGAGATTATGTTCAGTCCAGCTTTTGGCAGAGGAGCACATCAGTTGGATTCTGAATAAGCGATCAATGGATTTCTAGCATGATAATTGGTTGGGGACAGGAGCCATATGCCATCGGGTGGAGATTTTTCATGAAGTTTCAGATTTTGTCACACAGGCAAGGTGGAATTTAGGGCTACTCAACCAAGTTCTAGAGTCTGGGGTGGTAAGGCAGGTCATGGACGTTCCCTCTTCTTTCTCTCGAGGGTCTGACAGGATGGTTTGGGCTTTAACGTAGGATGGAGTGTTTTCAATTGCCTCGGCGTACTCTCTGGTTGAGCAGGAGTCTAATGGGTCCTGGGTGGCCTCCCAATTTTGGCTCAAGGGATGCCCAATCAAGATCTCTTTTTTCATGTTACGGCTCCTACGGTCAAGGCTTCCCATGTCAGATGTTCTACGTAAATTTGGGATTCACGGTCTATCTAGGTGTCACTATTGCGTAGTTCCAGACGAGGAGGGGCTTGACCACATTTTTTGCACAGGGGATGTAGCAAGGGAGGTTTGGAGTACTTTCGAGAACCCAGGGGAGATGGGCAAGGTGTCCAATTTGCGGCACAGGGTGCTACGGTGGTGGTTGCCCCATGGGCAAAATGTGTACCTCAAATTCGTCTATTGGCTGCTCCCTATGCTCGCTTGCTGGGAACTGTGGAAAGCACGGAACAAGGCGGTCTTTGAAGGGAGGAGGATGATGGGTACTGAGGTGGTACGGCAGGTTTTTCACCAATTAAGGGACTTATTTCATGGCCAATTTCCGGAGATAACATTTTCGTCGGGCCCTTGGGAGGGGTTCTACTCTTCTTTGTTGGCTTTGAGATGGAGGATGTCGATACTCCTAGTGCGTTGGATGGCTACCACAGTAGGGTGTAAGTTGAATTCAGATAGTTGTACTAAGGGGAACCCGGGAGTTAGTGGGGGTGGAGGCGTGGTGAGGGACTGGGAAACGCAGGTCAGTGTCGAATATTCCTGCTTCTTTGGCTCCTTGACGAGTTTACATGCGGAACTCAAGGCTATGGCATTTGGGGTCCAATTATGTGTAACCCGTCGCTTGCATGACCTCCACATCGAGGCTAATTCGCTAGATAACAACGGGAGTTGGAGGGCTTGCTTAGATACAAGCGTCATTTCCGGGAAATTACGCATTGCTATAGAGAGGCGAACAAGCCGGCTGATTTTTTGGCGAACCTAGGAGTTGACACGGAGCTGGAGACGATTTATGAGAGTCATAGCGAATTGCTTGTGTGGGTTTGGGGTGAGATCCAGATGGAGCAGTTAGGTTTCCCGAATTTTCGTAGGAGACTCTTGAGTTGAGGGTTATGCCTAGGCTAACCTGGGAGGTTGGCTAATTCGGGAATTCTTTAGAAATAAGTAACACATACATTTACTGCTTGTGATATTTTTTCCAATTTGGATTGTTGGTAGGAAGTTTTATCCATTTATAAGGGGAAACTCTGTCAAAATTTTCTTAAAATATATAAAAAAAAACAATTCTAAAACAATTTTAATTTTATAGAACTTTGTCTGATGTTGCTTAAGCGATTTTGTTTTTTATTGATTCTTAAGATCATAGAAAATGAAAATACTGATGTTTAAACACATCAACATCTTTTCAAAAACTAAATTCAGGTATCAATGAAAATTATCTAGTAAATCTTTGATTTTGTTAACATATTTATAGTAGTCAACAACAATTTGCCCTGACATGTTCATACAGATTTTAAATTGTTAAAATACATGGAAAGTAATTGCCTATTTAGACTGGATATCAAAACATGTGTAACTTTGACATCCTTTTCCGTTAGCATTTGTTGTGACTTGGTTGGATTTATATATTCATAATTTTTTTTTGCAGGTTTTGAACATGATTAATACAAAAATGAAAAATAGAAAAAAAATTACTTTAAGCTTTTGCAAAATATCTTGAGAATAGATCCACGTCCATTGTATACTTTAACTAATTCTATATTTGCATCACTGATGTTAATATAAGTTCTAAATATCTTGTCTGAATCTTCAATTTCACAAGTTCTAATGCAACATATTTTTTTAAACATTACTAAATGATAAGATATATAGTAATAAAATGATAAAATATATAGTAATATAAGTTTTTGAATGAACAATTACAACAATTATGAGAGATACAATTTCAAAAGTTAACCATAAACTAATTTAAAATTTCAGACATTAGTTAATTTAGGATTTAAAATCTTGCAACTTTGTCTAGTATGGACTATAGTCTATTTAATCGCGTAATATCGAATACCCAAACTTTATACATTGAGCGAAGAGACTTCCTTGTGTTGGCAGCTTCTCCATGTTAGTTATATTATAAATAATGTACAATGTATTTATTTAATATATGAGGGCCGTATACAAGATACTCATTAAACTGTAGTAAATCCGGGATAAATACATTTTACCATGGTTTAGGAGGTTTTTTTTATCACAGATTTGATGTGTGGAAAAAATGATTTCTTTTGTAGTGAAAACTTGAATAGATTTGATTTTCAAAAATCAAATGACCCATATCGTGCCTCACTATTTGATGAGATAAAATGGCACAATTTGAACCATTGAATATTTAAAAATCGAATCTAACCAAATGTGAGCGAATATATAAGTGACACAAACTCTAATGTAAAGAAACCCAACCTATCAACTTACATTCTTTTATTGCGTTGCATGGGCCATTGCAATAATAATTTTTGGTGTGGTAATCGTTTTGTCTTCTTCTCAAGTCATTTTCGCTAGAAATAAAATTTACAAGGATGTGCATATTTGTCAGAAATTAATAAGAGTAAAAATATGATTTACTAAATATAAATATTTACATATCATAAAAGGGTTCAAGTAAATCAAGCAGAACATGTGTAATATGATATCACTATATCTCTACAAAGTTCATAAATGTTTTAGCATATACAATTGATTGATGCTTCTAATTCTGGACTTTGATTCTTGCTCTTTTTACTAGTTATTTTACATGGAATTCTTAGTGCTTCTTGGAATTCGCCTCTTCTTCACTCTCAAGTGCGAAGTTTCATTGTCCATAATGCTTTACCTCCCTCGAGTTTTAAACTTCTATTCTAGACCGTAGATGTTTCCTCCATCACCAGTGCCAATTTGTTCCTCGTTTTCTAGAAATAATGGCTTTGATCCCATAAGAATCGATTTATGGGTAAGACGTGTGGCCTTTGCTTGAGAAGAGGAAGGCACCTGAGATACCTGCATGAAAGAAGAGAACTTTAAAGAACAAAAATAAGAAAAAATTAATTGTCTATAAGGTTAGAACTTAAAATTGATTGCTGCTAGAACTTTGTTTGGTATGGCACATATGTTTTGTACCTGCCGCAAAGGGCCACTCCATCCAAGCCCTTTAGAACACTGCAAATAATGCATTCAAGAGGGTTTGTAAGACGACTGCTAATTTATTCTTGCCAGTATTGGGAAAATAACAAAGGCACAAACAGGAAAACTAAACGGAAAAAGAGTGATGAGTTGAGTACACATTCGAATCTGGTAGCTCATTAATTCGATTGAGATGGAATCCAAGAGTCGATTTGCACGCCATCTTTGCTTTTCACACTCATCTTCTTCATCTTCTGCTTCCGTATCGTATTTTGAGTCCGCAAAGAAGCCTTTCTATGTCTCCATTTGTATGGTTTTGAATATTTCAAGAATGGAGATAGAAGCTTACTTGTACAAATGGCTCTTTATATAACCTTGCTTCCAAAGCCATTTCATGTCTTTTGGTGACAATTAAACTATGGAAAGTAGGTAAAAGCATTTATTGCCTAGATTTCCTTATAAATTGTAAGATTTGGTCATAAAAACTTACCATTCTAGCTATAAAGACTGCATATGTATTAGGCAGCCAATTATTCATTTCCATTTTAGAGGTTGGCAATATGAATTTTTGTGCTAAATAGGAATTACTAGTAGGAATTAAATTTGTAGACATAGCTATTAATACATTAATTGACATTAATATTCTTGCTTCTACATTTTAAAATATGGTGAGTGAATATATGTTGCATGACGAATAGGTAAGGGCTTGTCTAATAAGTGCCTTTTGAGCAGGTTAAGTGGGGTTCCAAGTATTTACATTTTGAAAAATTCAAATTAAAAGTTGGAAAATATGTAACTAAAAAGCGGTAATATATGTGAGTGAGAGCAATAGATTAAAAAAGAATTGTATTAGGTGACCAAAAATCACAAGAGAAAGCATGAACTGTACTAGTGCTTACAAAAATATTGTGCATACATTTGCTACCCGGGTCACAAGAGCGCACTGTCGCTCTCAATTTTCCATTCTTTGGGCATTTTCTCATTTAACCAAGTGAAGAAAAAGGATGATAGGTGTAATTTTAAAATCTTAGGCTTGTACTTACGGATTAATTGAAAAACTTATAGGTTGCATTGGATTCAAAAGTATTAACTGTTAGGATATTGGCTTAATTTTTTTAAGGTAGGTTTCTTGTTTTGTGTAAAAGTAACTAGTTTTCTAATTGATTTTAGTTACTTGAAGTAGTAGTCAAGGAATTTTCTATTTTGTTTAGGATTAGAAGTTATTTCCTATTCTTTATAAGTCTAGGAATTAGAATTGGCTTCCTATTGTTATTTGAGTTTTGGCTAAATAATGTTATCTATAAATAAGTGGGTTAGCATATTACACAAAGACACACAAGAGTACAAAAGGGCAATATGCAGCCTTATACATGGGGGTGAGAGAGGATTTTTGGGAGGTGAGAGATGGTATACAAGGGTTGGGTTTGAATTCAAGTTGTATTCTTGTATAGAAGTTTTCTCTCATAATAAAGAATGGGTTTCTCTCCGTGGACGTAGGCTCAATGGTGGAGCCGAACCACGTTAAATATTGTATGTCGTTTATCTTCTATGCTTGTGGCTTGTTTGTCATTTAATTATTGTGCACTTGATATTTCAATAGTTATTTATTTCGCTCTTGGATTCTAATAAGTGGTATCAGAGTTTGGTTGCAAGATTGGGCTGCTTACAAGCACTTGGATCCCAACAAACTAAATGGTTGGATCAAGTAAATGGTTGCAAGATTGAGCTGCTTATAAGCACTTGAATCCCAACAAACTAAATGGTTGGATCCCAACAAACTAAATGGTGGTTGTTACCAATTGAACAATTTAATTGGTGATATCCTTGTTTCAATAGATTGGCAAAAAGTATTGATGGTAAAGGATGAAAAGTCGAAAAGTAGAGAGATACTTGACGGTGAATCTAGATAGGTGATTCAAGGGTTAAGGAAAAGGTGGAATCCAATATTGATTTTGGATGTGAATCGGTGGAGACTTTCTCACAACTTCGTCGGTTGATACTTCATCTCAAATGGTTATTAGATTTGGATTATGCTTTTTGGGTGGTGTGACACGTGTCCCAAAGAAACAAAGAGATCTAATTTCCATAAGCCAGAAGAATCTGACAGTTACGAATTTTTCGTTTTAGGTGTAGTCTTAGAAACCACACGTGGCGAGACAGTCTTGAGGATGAAAAGAAGTATGGTGATTTTATCATTTGGTAGCCTCAATGATTAGGGTTAAAGCTCACAGAAGGGATTTCAGATTGTAAGTGGTGGTGAGAAAAAATCCTGCAAAGGGAGACGGTGAATTGACGCACTTTCTCATGAGTTAACTGGAGGTTAGATTCGGGATAACTACACATGTTCATTTGTCGATTGAATCAATTTGGTATCAGGACTGTATTGATTCGGGTCTGTAATTTGATACCATATTATTTGGTAGCTGAAAGTAAATGGTTGCTAAAAGAAATTTTCGCCAAGGTGGAGATTTGTTAGGATATTGGCTTAATTTTTTTTAGGTAAGTTTCTTGTTTTGTATGGAAGTATACTAGTTTTCTAATTGGTTTTAGTTACTTGAAGTAGTAGTCAAGGAATTTTCTATTTTTTTTAGGATTAGAAGTTATTTCCTATTTTGTATAAATCTAGGAATTAGAATTGGCTTCATATTGTTATTTGGGTTTTAGCCAAATAATATTATCTATAAATAGGGGGGTTGACATACTATATAAAGACACATAAGAGTACAAAAGGGCAACATGTAGTTTTATACATGGAGGTGGGAGAGAGTTCTTGGGAGATGAGAGATGATATACAAGGGTTGGGTTTGGATTCAAATTGTATTCTTGTATAAGATTTTCTTCTCATAATAAAGAACGGGTTTCTCTTCATGGATATAGGTTCAATGGTGGAGCCGAATAACATTAAATATTGTGTGTCATTTATCTTTTATGCTTGTGGCTTGTTTGTCATTAAATTGTTGTGCACTTGATATCTCAATAGTTGTTTTATTCCGCGCTTGGATCCTAATATTAAAAAATGTCAAGAACATGTTGTTGCATCACATAGTAAACTTGTTTTTATAAATAGTTTTGCTAAGATAAGAAAAAGTATGAAATAGGTTTCGGTTTCGTTTTTGTTTCACATAGATGTAAACCTATTCATTATTCTCGTTATATACCATTGTTTACTTCTATAATAAAGCCAAGAAAGATTTTATTTTGCGGATCCAATGGCAATTTTCTTTCACCTTCCGGTAACGCAGGGACGTTAAAGGGGCCTATGATCTACCAATTGAACTCCCTTACAATATTGTATTGGGATTTCATTAAATTAAAAATGTCTAATTGATCGATTAAAAGTTTATATTGCTTTTTAGAAATATAAGCTGAAAATTCCTTTAACTCTTGTTTGAATTTCTGGATTTCAATGGCTAGCTAACGAATTTATAGACTAATGGTACTAGCATTATAAGCATCCATAGAACGTAATGGCTAAGAAAACCTAGACAGTAGTCCTAACTTTTCAACCAAATCTATTGACTAACATCATGGGAATTCAACCATCCATCCATTTTTGTCTTCAATAGTTCATACCTAAAAATAGCATTGTATTGGGTAAGGTTGATGAAAGATCTATCAGCTAAAGAGTTTAACAAATCTTTTGTCAAGTGGCGGTCAATTACTCCCTATAAAATTTCATCATTAGCTATCTAAAATTGAAAACATTTGGTTTTCTCTAAGTAAGTCATTGGAGATACATCAACTAATTTTACAATTTGGTTAGACGATGAATGTACAACTGGGTCTCGTAATTTGAATGGAATTGAGTAATAACGAATTTGAAACCAACTTATGTAGGCCATCCATTATTCAGTTATATGCAATGTACGAGTATCTTCTTATCAATGATATATATATATATATATATATATATATACAAATATATACATATATATACACATATGTATACATACATATATATATATATACATTAGTCGTAAAACTTCGTACGTGAGGAGAGATGTCAATCCTATATTTGATTAATAGTTATAAAAGGAGGGGACATAGACTTAACCTCCATGTTTACATGAACATATTAGTTGAAAAACTGAAAAGAAGATTAAACCTGAAAAATTGATGGAAGGCCTAGCTTATCAATTCTAACTTCACCTCGAACCAAGCGTGGAAGCTCAGCTTCAGACATATAAACTTGGTCCATTTCTTGAGCACAACCAATGTTGGATAACAAATCAGCTGGCCTGTTTGCTTTCCGAAAACTTGTCTCTAATCAATGATATTAAAAAACAAAATCCTTCATTTTAATATGCCTAGAAGCATAGGACTCAACAAAGTCAAAAAAAGAAAAGAAAGAAAAGAAAATCTTCCCTAAGCAGTCTCTACTAATTGCACTGTATTTCTTTCATCTCTTCTAATTATGATATCAAGCTCCCAGGGAAGAAGTTTAATTGCGTATATTCTTTCCAGGTTGTCTTGTTTGTCATTTTTCACTTCCATTTTTAGTTATAAAACTATAAAAACCCGTTACAAACTCCAAAAAGTCATGTATTAGATTGTAGGGCTTTCATCAATATTCACAATTTGTTTTCTGCTAACTTTAGGAAATACCACAACTATTAAACATGAAATGTAGAAGTTGAATTAATGATGACTAAATGGGAAACGTCCATTTCTTGGAGAATTAATAAAATTTACTATTGTTCCATTAAGAAAAATATACTTTGTGTGCGAAGGGTAACTAGTGTTATCACGACATGTAAGACTCATATATAGGAACTATGAAAGGTTTTATCAAGAAATTTGATTGTCACATTTGTAATGTACAATTTATGATACACTCTGTTACTTTCGTTATTTTGCTTTTATATTTTTGCTCATATGCCGCTTTTTAACAAACTAAGAATAAATTGTTGAACTGCTTCTACCAAATTATCATTGGGTAATTTTGAGATCTTGCAAAATTAAAAAGACAAGAAATTTGTCCAAGGTTCATCATTATTTAGTTTCGTGAAGCCTTGCTATTCATTTCTTCAAGTACATTGGAATGGGAATAGAAATTTTGGTCAACATATAATTGCGGTTGCATTTCAATAAGTATTTGTTTACATCATTTACAAAATTATTAATTTTTGTTACAAGTCATCCTTGCAAGACTCAATGATCTCTTGTTCAACGAATCGGGAAATAATGGCCTGGATCTCTTTTCTTTAAATGCTTCAATCGATAGAAACACTAGTCAGGAGAACTGGAGATTCCTAGGTTTGACTGTAAGATCTTCTCCCTCCACCTTCTCAAGACTAAAGTGTCCTACTT